AACTTTCTGTGGTTAGATCTGATAGGATCCAATTCCAGGCTATTATGTGTCACCTTTGCAGAGGGGTAGGACATACATTAACAATGTCAGTTGGGGGGCTAGAATTACATCTAGTATTTTCCACATTCAAGTGTCCTTGTCATTATTGCTAAATCAATCTGACCGTCATTATGGCTAAAGCATCTGGCTCAATAAGTCTGGTCAACCACTGTCAGTAGTTATGCCACACAGAGACAGAACTCAAGATTCTGACCACATTTCTGTGTCCTCCAAGTTGGACCACTTCTGGCATATTTCAACCACTGGAAAGGACCTTTTAGTAAAAATTTTTTGAACAATTATTTAATTTTATTATAATTATCATTTTTAAATTTGTCACAGGGCATAGATGCTTAGCAGAGAGAGAGACAAAAAGAGAGAGAGAAAGTGAGAAAGCAAGCTGCCAGGTCTGGGTCTTGAACCATAGTTAGCCATGTGAGAGTCCAGCTCCTTAACCACCATGCCACCTACTGGCCTCAGGGACCTCTTTTTTATTAAAGTTATTTTTTCTGATCTGATTGAATGATTTCTTCTCCCATTATAGGAAAGCCATGAGTAGCTTGTTCTGAGGTATGTTTTGAGCTATGAAAGACATCTATTAGAAAGCTTTCATTTGAAGGTTTCTCTTTAGGTGACAGTATTTTATGATTGGACAGTCTCTGCAGGTACCAGATTCCCTATTGCATCTAACTGCATATTTGTACACACATGTTCAGACATGAGACACTCTGCATGGTCCCTGAATCAGTTAAGCATATATCCAGAATGCCCACCATGCCTGCAGTTGTGACACCATGTGCTAATATTTTTCTTTGCTCCAGTCTACTTTTTTGTCCAGTTTGGGTCCTTCAGGACAGCTAGAAACAGGTGTTCCCATATTAATGAGGCAAAGTGCACATGGAGGAAGGGATTTCCAACAGCCAGGGCCACTCATGACTGTACATTTTGTGGGCAAGCCACTCACACCACACTGACTGAGACCTCTGCCCTGATGAGGCACAGCAGAACAGGTGTAGGAGATTGAGTTGCCACAAAAAATTGTAACTCACAAATACCTGTCCTAAAAGCTTGGCACTGGGATCCAACATCTGTGAATATCAAATGCAACTCACTTGTGCCCAAATCTCTAGGCATCTAATACATTTCTATAATTTTCAATCCAGTAAAGTATCCTTTCTTTGTTAAGAACATCTAAAGGTGAACCTTATACCATGCAGTAACTTGCTATTTGACCATCTTCATTTGTATTGTTATAATTCTCCATTACGCCATTCCCTCTTTAGTAAGGTCTGTAAGCAAAATTCCTTCCGTATTTGGAGCCTCTTTCATTTCATTAGTCAACTTCTTGACGTATCTATTTAACTGAGTATCACTGAGGAATTTACAAGCAAATGCCAGTCTATCATGTACTGCAACTTTGTCTTAATTGAAAATTTCATCATAAGATCCTGCTTTGCTTAGAAATGCACACATGACACAGATATGGGGCTGTTCAGTTGTAATCATAGAATGCTGTACATTTCTTGCCAAAGGGAGTTCTTTTCATCCATATAACCTGATAAAACCATTATTGCCACATTGAGATTCAGATCTTTTTCTGAAGATGCCCCTGCATTCAAGATTTGGATTGCTCATCACATACCAAGTTGAACAATGCCACAGCAGCAGCTCTCTCCCATTCTCCTTCTTGTACAAGTGAGTTCAGAAATGGGGGCCAGGATGGTGGGTGGGTGGGTAAGGGTGCTGGACTCCCACATGGTCAACCGTAGTTTGAGTTCCTGATCTGGCAGCTTGTTTTCTTGCTTTCTCTGTCACTCTCTCTCTCTGTCCCTCTCTGGTAAATTAAAATAAATAAATAAAGTTAAATAAAATAATTATTTAAAAAGCCCCCACAAACATACAATGCCTCTCCTTCATAGCTTGAGTATATATTGAGTGTCAGCACTCTGTGGCCGAAATCAAATGACTAAAGGATATAGAAACATACTAAGTGGTTGTGAATACCAGATGCGGTGTGGAAGAGGGTGGGCGAAGGAGTAGAGTATGAGGAAGGACATTAAGGAGAAAAATAGAGAAGCAAGTCATTTATGGGACAAAGAAATAGGTTATTATCTATTGAAAATAACTTTATAGTATTGTTAACTGGACTGGTGAGAAATGTACACATGTTGGAATTTTCAGTTTGCAAGCTAAGTAACACGTGATTGAATGTATAAAAGAAATTGAAATTTAAAAATTAAAGGAAAAAAATCACAATCAAGTGAGTTCAAAAATGACCCCTCATCTACATCCATACCTTTCTTTATCCACTCACAAAATTATAAGGCTAGAAGTCTCATTCATTTAAATTTTGAATATCAGTTTGCTTATCCAACCTACACCAATTATGTCTGCTGCATTCTGCCATTCCCAAAGATGATTTTACAATTGATTTAATCCTGCATTAGCCAACAATTCTTCGCTGCCTGGAGATTTCTGAGTCAGATCTTCTGTATGTTGCTTCATAAAGTGCAGGGTATACCTGCGCGACTTGAGCTGTATTTTAGCTGTATTTCCAGCTAAAATGTGGTTTCTCCACACCTGCTCTGTATCAAGTCCATACCTTATAAAACCTGAAGGTTCATCTTTATTCTACCTTTTTCTAAAGAATTAGTGCTTCCTTTTCCTGCACATTATACAAATGGCCATAAGCCCACATTAAAGATGTAATTGGAGTCCAGGCAAGAGATATCCTTTCAAAAACAGTGAAATCAGGTATTTGAAGTGTTTGGAGTTGCAACTAACATTCAATTGTGACTTGTTGGACGCCATGTGAAGGAAGCAATGTAATCGTTCATTTTGCTTCCTTAACGTGGGTTCAGTTTCATCCCCAATGGGAGTGGGTGTACATTACTATCCCTTGTGAAAGTGGCAAGCAAGCCAGTCCTAGCTGAACACCATACTCCTTTTGTTAAGGGCTCTGATTGCTTAGTCAGAGTCAAAGCTGGCTTCTCAAATTTTCTAACATCCCATATTGCAACCTAACTTTCATAGAAGAAAGCTTTACAATTGTGGAAGTATGAGTCTACTGTCACCCCCGAACAGCTTTTGATTTACAAATGTCTTTTGGTTTGCATTCTGAAGATCAAATGTGACTAGGTTACAATGCATTACAAGCAAGGTGAAGTTTCTGGTCTCCTGGAAGGCAATAAAATGAAAAACAAGCATCTTTCTGTCCTAATTCAAAGAGCAGTCACCTTCTCTATTCTCCTTTCAGGATTTTTGGGCACACACACATGTCCCCAGCATGATTTTCAAGCTACTGGATCTGAGACTCAAACCACATCATTAGCTATGTGGGATCCAGCTGCCTTAACCTTCACACTACCTGCTGGCCCATGATCTTTGAACTTTGAGTTATGACTTGATCAACACTTGTAACTCAACAATTTGCTTGTCCAACTGCTAGCAGACATTCAGGGTTAAAATTCAGATACCAGCCAACACATTTCATATAGAGTTCACCTGAATTTATTGATACTATTGATTGTAGCTGTAGTCTTCTGTAAACCTAAAGATCCAGCTTTGAGTTAATCCACGGCAGATTCTACATGATAAAGGCTCAGTTCTGAGTCACAGACAAGAAATCTATCTACTTGTGCGGTGCCTGCCAACCACCAGGCTTGGTACCAGTCGTGTTTATTGATGTGTTGGAGAGTTCAGTCAGGTCCATT